ATATATATATTACTCTATACTTCAGTTAAAAAGAAGTCTTTTCTTCTTTTTTTTTTTAAATATACTCAAATTTTTCAAAAAAACAACTTTTTTTTTATTATAACGATAACGTTCTCGTCTGATTAACAAAATTCAGCGAACTAGAGTCAATATTACTTCTTTACCTTTCTCTTCATTACATAATTACCAATATTGAAGGGTATATGTTTTGTCGGTTGGGATGAAAACTTTTAACTTCAGTCATTTTTTTTTTTTTTTTAAGTAGGCATATCTTAGAAAATACATTTAGTGGGAGGTAACTAGATGATGAAATTGATAAAATCGCTATTGAACGATCTATTTATCAACCCTCACTATCCTTGAAAATTGCATCTAATCTAATTAACTGCTATATCTACATGGATATATTATATGGATTTTTTTTTTTGTTTATTTAATGAAATTTAAAACTGTATACAAATACAACTAGTGAATATGCGCAAATTATAAATAATGACATGTACAGACTTGAAGAGATACTACGCAGTGGTAGCACTCCCTAAATAATTTTAAATAAGAAGATCACGAGGCCATCTCATTTTCAGACGCCTAGCAAGATTATCAGGGATCGAGAAAGAAGCAAGAGTGGAAACAAGCGGATTTGGATGGGACTGAAGTTTATCATGGAAGGATAGATATCTGGCTCGAGCTAAATCAGCGACATATGGTACATTAAGGTCGATATGGATTTAACTACAGAAAGACGTATATGTAATTATACTCCATATAACCTCCATGGAAGCTGTTTTTGAAATATAATGTCAAAGAAAAAATTAATTCCAAGGGAAAGAAATGGACTGAATTTTATAAAATTGATATTGGATCATCTAAGTATCAACTCTCACAATCTATGAAAATGTTATCAAATTGAAATAACAGCAGTGTTATGCCCAAAATATAATCCAGAGGGCTTCCCTGCTCTATCCAACATCACAGCAGCTCTCCTTGCGACTCAAGCTGCAAATTTACAAGGCCATTATCTGACCTACATTCCTCCATGACGCTCCCCTTCTCCGACACATTTATAAAACTACACTCCAAAGTCTGCAGGTCTTCCAGATCTCTACTTCAGCGAATAGTCCTTGTCACCTGACTACAAAGAACTAAGAATGCCTGAGTTCATAGGCTGGAAAAACATCAAATGTTTTGATAGGCTAAAGGCCTGTGCTAACCCATTATTCCAGGATATCGTTCCACCACATGGACCTGGGAGATGGCAAGGCAAACTCCTTTTGGTGGACGTGCTCGCCGAAGGACGGAGTCTGGACTCTGCAGTCCAAACCCAAGAAAATTTCAAATAATACAAACAGCAGAACCTGGTCTTCCCCGTTCAATCAAAGATACAAGGACTCCTGTAACAACTGTTACAAATATCTGTTCTCATTCATTATAATGCTCCTGGGCAACCAAACGACCAAGCAAGAATAAATATATTTGTATATTTTATACTTATATATTGTAATTGCTTTTAAAGTTCAAATAATGGAGGATTAGAAAAAAATAAATATACATATGCCCAAAATATGGATTCGACAACATAATTCAGTTTAAATTAAATTTTAGAATAGTTTAAAATCTTATAACTGCATGTAACTATATTTTAAATATTGATTCCCTTTCCATGCATTCTCTGCTACCACATTTCATAGCCATTGTATTCTTAACAATCAGGTACACAAATTTTAAGAAATAAATCGACTTTTGTGAAATTGATACTTGACTCTTTGTACACTTTTCCCTAAATATCCTCCAACTTTAGGCAAAAAAGAAACACTAGCCGTATGTAAATGTATGTATGGCATATCAAGAGAAATACTTTTGTGCATCCGATGGATGATGAAATTGATTGCAATTATTTTTTCTTTTCATCATTACCTAGCTTCCCTGTTTTGATGAAATTGATATGGGACCATTCAGGTAGGAGATGATATTCGCATGGATTTGGCTGTTTGGCTACAGACAGACATAGAACCAAATTTGTCCCTTGATATTAAAATTTAGAGTGCCAGTAAATTTTTTTTTTCTGAGGACAGTTAATGGTGAAGCAAAACTATATAATTTTTTTTTTAAAATAAAGTTATTCCTTTTTTTTTTTTTTTAACTCTAATAGAGTTTCTTTAATAAATGTACTCTGTGGTGAAATATTCCTTCCTCAACTGGTTGTGTCAATAGCAGTTTCTTGAAAAAAACATTTTTTCATTTCTCAACTAGTAGGACGTTATTGTGTAATTTTTAAACCCAAACTTTCCAAATTTAAATTAATAGTTAACTGGTTAGCGTTTCACTAATTTAGGATTAAAATCATTAAGTCTCATTGATGAAGACCAGAGCAAGTTCATCACTTCATCGACAGTCTGTAAAAAACCCTTCATATAAAGACACTATGTTACTCATATAGAATTCAGTATAACTTGTATTGTATTATAAATACTGTCATATTTTATATTTAAAAATGTGTACTCTAAATATGCATCGAATAGTCTTGGGATGATATATTTTTTCATAATTTAACATATGTCTATTATAGGCCATAGGTCACCAAAAAAACACAGTTTTTTTATGTATTACATGTATGTTTATTCAACGTTTCGGCTTCAGGAGCCATTTTCAAGAACCTGCAAACATGCACCGTGCCATAAAATTTTTAAAATTTGTCATTACGATATGATTCGTCCTAATTCATTCTTATATTTCAAAGAATGTCGTTTTCTGTTTCTCTATTTGCAGACGGTATCAAGAAAGTATTGTTCTTCAATAGGGCATTCATACAGGACTCGCATGATTCAGTCCTGTATGAATGCCCTATTGAAGAACAATACTTTCTTGATACCATCTGCAAATAGAGAAACGGAAAACGACATTCTTTGAAATATAAGAATGAATTAGGACGAATCATATCGTAATGACAAATTTTAAAAATTTTATGTCACGGTGCATGTTTGCAGGTTCTTGAAAATGGCTCCTGAAGCCGAAACGTTGAATAAACATACATGTAATATATAAAAAAACTGTGTTTTTTTGGTGACCTATGGCCTATAACAGACATATGTTAAATTATGAGAAAATGGCACCAAACCCGAAGGATGGTACTAGATATATTTTTTCGTTTTGGCCAATAATTTTTTAGACTGCTGTTGTGAGATATGCTGCATCTTGTTTGCATTTATGTGATTTTATCCTTTTCTAAAAAAAATGAAATTGAAGAGAAAGTTAAGGATAGATTAAAGGCGGTAAATGCTTGCTATTTTTCAATTGTAAAATGATTTAGTTTGCGGCAGTTGTTCTGACATTTAAAAATTAGAATTTACAAAACCATTATTCTTCTTAGAGTTCTTTATGGATGCGAAACATGGCCGCTTACATTAAGGGATGAGTAACGTCTTAAGTTTTCTGAAAATAAAGTTTGAATATTCAGACCTAAGAAGTATGAGCCAACCAGAGAATTTAGATGGTTACGCAACACTGAATTGCCTGAACTGTACCCAATTAATATATTTGAGATGATTATGTTGAGGTAGATAAAATGGACATCTAAAATTGCTTGGCTTAGTAACGAAAGAATTCGTAAAAAGTTAATACGTGCTGTGCCGAATGGTAAACGTCCGAGGAATAGACTGAAGGGAATATGGAAAGACTGCATTAAGCCTGATCAAGTGGGGTTGGGGTTGGATAGATGGAAGAATGTAGACATTGATTTGTGGTATGGAAGAATGTAGACATTGATTTGTGGTATCGGCATCGAACCTTCGGGTTCGCTAAGCCATGTTATTGTTATTATTATCCTTTTTTAATCTGATGATACATGAAAGGCTCAGATATTGCAAAGAGGTGCAAAACTCAGATTGGTCGCCAAAAGTCATAATAGATTCTTTAGTCTTGTATATATTCATGCATGTCAAATTTGCTATGTAATACTTTAACTGAATAACCAGCCCGTCACCTTTTACTCATCTGTTAAAAATTTAGGCTTTTTCATAGATCAAATCCCCTCCTTGAATCACCATATTTCTCACACCTCTCCGGCAATTTCTACTGTCAAACTATGGCATTGTTTCCACCATCTCCTATCCTAAAATACACGTAGAATTCTCCAATTCAAGTCTTCAGTACATTCCCTTACCACAAGATCTCAACCATCTGACCTATACATCCCTTCTCACAGATCTGCAACATTCCAAAACTCTTTTATTGCCCACTCTGTAAATTTCTGGAAATCCCTATCTATCAAAATTAGGCATTCCTCTTCCATATCCACATTCAAAAACCTCCTATTCCAAAAACAGTAATATACCTGCTAACTATTGACGTTATACATGTATTTCATATCAATTATCATCATGCGATAATACTGTTCTTTGCTAGGAATATTACATGAATTTCCTACTTTAGGCGCCACTCAATAAATCTATTTTTTTAATTATCACTTATATTTTTTCTTATTTACAATAAACTCTTACATGCATCTTCCGTAACAGATGATCATGCTCTTCGTTTGATGTATTTACATATTATCCAGAATTTACATAATTAGGTTTATATTGACAGATGCAGCTTTCATTTTTCTTAATATAAACTTAGAGCTTATTTATGAAAAAAAGTTAATTTATTTTGTATTTTTTTTCTTTCTTCTTTTCTTGAAGTGTATATTTATGCTTTTATACCATTATATATAGTGTTAAGCATTTTATTCTTAGTTTTAAGTGTTTTGTGGATAGTTTTATTTGTTTTGTATATAGCTTGTTTACTTAAGGTTTACTTTATTTTATTTTAAAATTGTATTTATTGTTTCAAATTTTTAGACCCGAAGTAGTCTTTTCTCTTTGTACACTTTTGTTATTATGAAGGGACTTTGTCCCAGAATAAAGTTGTTTTCTACCCATCTATCTATCTAATATATATTTACTTTATTTATTTTATTTACTCTATAATAGTTATTCAATACATCGATGATGTTGTTTCAGAATCCTCTGAGCAAAGATTTGGAAATAAACCTAAGTCAGGATGGAATCAGACTTAGGTTTGATCCTATCTCGCAAAGGCTGAAGGTAAATTGAATTTGCATTATAATTATTAATTAGTTTATTTATTTAAGTATATTAATTTACTTTTGAGGTAGTGTACCTTGGCTAGTTACCGAAGGCCAAGTCTAGGAAGAGTGGGAGGACAGCAATTAAAAGAAATAGTGGGAATGACGTTTAATTAATCCTTTAGAAATCATAATAAAAATTTTAAAATTGAGGGTACTTCAGACTACAAGCTGATTTTCTCTTTTCATAATATAGAACAATTCTCTAGTTTTAAAAGTAAGTGTTTAAAAATGGAGATGTGAGTTTTAGAAATTTCTTTATGACTTCACCGATTGATTTTGAGGAATTATAAAGAATGTGTGATGCATTAATTTTATAAACACCAAAGAGCTTATTAAAATAATATATCCATTTATAAATTATTTAGAAAAACTTATGTTTAATCTAATAAAATCAGATTGATTTATTAGTTATTAATCTTCAATCCGTTAATATATTATGTGCCCTATTTTAATATTTCCTTATTAGGTTAGACTACAACACCACTTAACTTTCTTAACAATGTATTAAAATAAATAATACTTCATTAAATATTACAATTTTCATAATGTATTGGAATATTGTCGCACATATAGCAGTGCCCACAAGGGGGTTTCATGGCACAACCTGCGCCATCACAGTTTTTGAGGGGGACACATTTTGACAGGATTTTGTATGTTTTAGAGGGCCACATTTCGACGGAGTTATAAATTTTCGGATTGAAAAGTTTCAAACAAGGAGACAAAGCAAATACAGTGAACAAACATCAGCAAGTGTAATTGTATATGATTTACGGTACTTTTATGTATAATAATTTTTAAGAAAAAGACAGCAATAAAATATCTTGGGGAGGGAAGGGAGGAGATTCATGTGCCATCGACTTTGGAGAGGGGGGGGGGATGAGCATCCCTGCATACATGTATTATCTTTATTAATTACTTTCCCATTTTACTTTCCTGAACTTAATAATATCTCTCATAGAGCTTGACTAATTTTTTTGATTAGCTTGATTTTAAATATTTCAGGATTCATTTTAAATTTTTATTTTTAATTCCCCTTGTATTAAAAACCTTTTTCAGGTAATAGAAATCTACAACTTAAAACTCGTCAAGTTGAAATATAGGTAAGAGAGCATTATTATATTGTTTATGAAGAGTTTTAAGATTAAAAAAAAAATTTTTTATTGGTATTTATAATGATGAACTTTTGTTAATATATTGATATATTATTAATAATTTTTTTTTTTTTTTTTGGGAAGTTTTAGGTTTATTCTAGTGATCTTGGCAAAAGATGTTTCCGAAGTAAATCCACTTTATTTGTTACACATTAATACAAAGTTGATAGTTCAGCAAAATCTTTTCTATCATCAGAATTATCTATTTTTTTATATTTTATAAATATATGCTCCCTTTGTCAACACATTGATTTTGATTTTAACAATATCCGGAACAATTCATCTCTTGGACCTCGTTAAAGTAAAAAAAAGAATACCAATGTATTGAAAAAGGGAGTACACCTATAGAATAGAAGAAATTAGACTGTTCTGTTGATTAGAAAGATTTCCTGAAATATCAAACCTGTGACAGATAAAGTGGATTTATGTCACTATGGAAGTTTTTTTTCTGGCCAAGATTACTAGAATTATTATTTATTAAGATGCAATTATAAAATAGTGTTATTCTTTTTTATATTATAATGATATTTATTATTCATGAGGAGAAGAATAGTTGGGGTGATCAGTCAAATAAGAAGGCAAAATAAATGATAATATTATCATTTATTTTGCCTTCTTATTTGACTGATCACCCCAACTATTCTTCTCCTCATTATTCATGACAGTCAACTATTTAACCACTATATTTATTATTCATTCAGAGTTCTATGTATACCTCACATAAATATAAACAAATTTAAATTATGTTTTATTTATATAATTACTTAAAATTTATTTAATGAATAATCACTATTGTTAACGATGCAACCAGGGAAATGTGCGGTACAGATTAAAAGGTTAAAAGGTATCTAGGGATCATTTTATTTCCAGGCTTGTGTTTGTAATTTAAATTATTTTATCTATTTTCGGCCTAATCAGCAATATATGGCTTATTAGTTATTTATGGATAACTTTATTTGTATATAAAACAAAATGACGGCCCTCTAATCCTGATTTGTTTATTTATTTTTAATATGAAAGGATGAAAAATGATCATGATGTGCAATCAATAAATTATGTTTCTTGAGTTTGCCGACGTGTGAGTTCTAGCCTTCAAACCATTGTCCCTATGATGACCCACATTTTTGGTTCAAAATGTCAACTAACTTAATAAACATAATTTTTTGACTGCACATTCTGACCATTTTTGATCCTTACAAATTCAACAGTCAACTAACTATACATCCATCTCCCAATTATTTTTAATATGTATATCAATTTATATTCGATGTTTGAAAAGTTCCTTCCTTTTTTTTTTTTTTTTTTTGCATTAATATTACAATTTGGTTTTATGTTTCAAGGCTGTTTACCTTATCTTCAGGATTTTCTAGTAATTGCATTGTATATTTAATCCATTGCACAATTTATACATAATTTCTATTAATCAGCATGAATTAAACTGTTTACATGTCAATTGAAAATAAAAAAACAAAAAACTTTCTGATGCAGCGAAATTATTATCATTTCATTAATGAAAATGGCGTAGAAAGATTAAAAGGCTTTATTATTATTTCTCGACGCATTATTATCTTAATGTTTTGACTTTTCAAAAACAGTCAACTTTTTTATTTATTCTTTTATTATCATAAATGTTTGATTCATTCATTATCTTTATCTTGCAAATTATTAGTTAAACCTGATAGTTTGAATAATTTAATCAAACCTAATATCAAGTTAAAGATGATGAATCAAACTTTCATAATAATAGAATAAGAAAAATATAAACAAAGAAAATTGAAGTGTTTTTGAAAATGGCTGACCAAACCGAAAATATTAATAAATGATACAATGGCCTTTAAATAATTTTTTCTTCATTGTTTTACGTTGATAATAGCTAATGGACTTTTATAAGATAAAACATACAAATATTATCATTTTGATGTGCTATTTTTAAACTAATTTACTATTAAATTTTTCCAGTGGGATGGTTTTCAATTCTGAAGAAGTTTATCCTACGATGGAACAAATAGAGCATTCCTTCGGAGCCACTCTCCCGGGCTTATACAATCCCAATTCGGAGATGTATGTTGTATATTTCCGAGGAGTGTCTTTTTACTTTCCTGCTTCGAAATATCAGGTACATACAATATTTTGTCTCATTGGTTTGACAAGATTCTAACTGGTCTAACCTAAACTTCGAAATAAACGAGTTTGAAAAATTTAAAGTGCTACTTTTGAAATTGGTTTAATGACAAAAACACTACTCCTGATTTTATGATTGAATTAGTCGAAATGCAGCTAGAACCTTGTCTAATCACAAAATATATTTGATTTGATTTGATCAGATAAAATTGTTACTGAATCATTAAAAATAAAAAATGTTTGTTATCCATATATACTTAAATAACTAAACTTATGGATATCTTAAGGTATCCTAATTACTTACTATTAGTATATTTTGTCTTTTGCCATACATTAGTTTTACTCTTGATCTTGTGATGGCATAAATGATAGGTCTTCAAACTTTTTTGCCCACAGGCTTATGGCTTGTGATGAAAAAAAAATTTTTGTTCTGTAAATGACACTTCAGCTCTGAAATAAACGTTTTAAGAGAAAAACCCACGCAATTAATGTATAAGTAATCTCTTGAATACTTAATAGTTGACAATTGTATTATTAAGGAAGGAGATGGTCCAGGGTGGCGGTCATAAATAGACTAAATAGTGGCAAAACTATTTTATTAAAAACCAACATTTCGACCCGACTTTGCAGGTCTTCTTCAGAGAAGGTATGTTTAGCAAGGAGTTTCACTTAGAACTGAAACTTGGCAGTTGTAAGTGAAACTCCTTGCTAAACACACCTCCCTGAAGAAGACCTGCAAAGTCGGGTCGAAACGTCTTTTAATAAAATTGTTTTGCCACTATTTAGTCTTTTTATGACTGCCACCCCAGACCATCTCCTTCCTTTATAAGTAAATTTCATATTTTTAAATAATAATAATAATAATAATAATGCTTTATTTATTCTGAGATGAGGCCCTTAGAATAATACAGAAAGACAAAAATGTGGGCTAAGGAGCCTCAGAGAGACATAAACAAGAATATAGTTTGATTAAATAGTCAAAATAAAAAAAAATAATAAAAGAAATTGAAAATAAACATGAAATAAAAATAATGAAGAACGATCTAATAATATAAAATAGGTTTTAAAATTCTACGAGGTAATCAAAGAAACTTTTGCGGGCCAGATCAAAGGTGCTTGCAACTTATAATATTAATTTTGTATTAGATTTTAAAAAAAGTAACTGATCTACTATTCTGTCTAATTTTTTTTTGTTTGACTGCTCCTTTTTTAAGCTAACAACAGTTAAATTTTATAGCCACATGCTCAACATTAAAATTCCTAATTAGCACCTCAAAAATCATAAGTCAGAAAACTTCTCCATAACTTTCCACCGAAAACCTTTCCTTATTACCATTAGTAGTTCGTCTATTCCTCAACCAATTACAGAAATAGTTGTTTCAAACTTTCACTACCTCGTGTGCAGTAGACGAAAGTTAGTCATATGCGTATATAATCTCATTTTACCCAAAAATGTCAGTTAAACCCTTGCCAAACCAAGCGAACGTTATAATATAATTTTATAATTTGAATTAGTATAAAAACGACCTTTGTTTTCTTCAATAGAACCCTACTGGACCCAGACCACTTGGATCGCCCGTTGCCGTTCTGGTCTCGATACACCCTGGTAGTTGCGAGTCGAACGTAGAAACGCCACCCCTTCCTCTCAACTTCTGCCTTGGGGAAGTATACCTCAGCGGTCTTCTCCTTCTGGAAGACCTGGGACTCCGGCTACACCTCTACACAGGTGGTGAGCATGTTAATGTTATGTGAATTCATGAGGGGAGGATGCATGGACGAATCTAAGCTTTTGAAACGGATTAATCTCTATTGTATGAAAAGCCTGCCAATACATGTAGTTTTGTGTTATGCTCAAACGTATCTATAAATTTATGATTAATTCTGATAAGGAAGTACCTGTTATACGTATTTATGTGTGTGTATTAAAAAAAGCATCTTGTTTTTAATAAACGTGATATGTTTTAAACTTATCAAAATTAAATAAAACTTAATGAAGAGAAGAATAGTTGGGGTGGTCAGTCAAAAAAGAAGGCAAAAATAAATGATAATATTTATTTTTACATATGCCGACGTTTCGACCTGAAGTTCAGGCCATCATCAGGACTAAGAAAAGAACCAGATAACAAGGTATGAGAAACATAAAAATTACAGTAAAAAGAAGTTGTTAGAATAATGACAATAGTAAGAACAAGAGACAAATAATAATAACAGGTACAAAGTGTGGAATGATGAAGTAAACATAGTCAAAAAGGTGACATAAGTATTGTAAAGGGAATCTTAGAATAAAATTGTGAAACAGAAAAATATGAAGTTATATAAGAAATGGAAATAAATAGTAAAATTAAGATATAGTTAATAGAATATTTAGATAGAAAATTGAGATCTTGTAAAGTCTATCAATATGTACAGACAAAGTATGAAATAATAAAGAGTTAAAACAGAGAAAAGGAATGAAAGGAAGGAGGAGAAAGAGAACTGAGAGTTGAAATAAGAAAGAGAATAAGTAAGAGAAATGATAACAACCTGACTGCTTATGTTTCTCATACCTTGTTATCTGGTTCTTTTCTTAGCCCTGATGATGGCCTGAACTTCAGGTCGAAACGTCGCCATATGTAAAAATAAATATTATCATTTATTTTTGCCTTCTTTTTTGACTGACCACCCCAACTATTCTTCTCTTCATTATCCACGACAGTCAACCATTTACCAATTATAAATAAAACTTAGAGTACTTTAACATATATGATATTTTTGGTTCTCTCTCCCTGTTATATTTGTATATTTAGGTTTTCTCCTCAACCTGATGTTAATAATGGAACATACAGTCTCCTTGGAAAAAATAGTCTTCCATTAACCCCAAACAATATTTGCGAGAAACTGACACGATTACTGTCAGTTGTTCTTTTAATATGCCCAATACGGCGAAAAAATAATTTTTTCTCAGTATTTATGATATTACTCTTTTTCACCTCCATCAGTTCCAGAACTTCTTATTATGAAATTCTTTCATTTTTAATTCTTAAATTTTCTCGCTGACTCTCATTAAAAGTAGATTTCTACTGTTAGTATTCTTTACCGATGTCTGAAATTAATGACCTATGTCTAGATTTTATTTTTGGTAAACCTAATATTGTGTACCGATCAGACATCTTGATACAATATTTCTTTCAGCATATATAGTAATGTTTAATTAATTTCTTCCTTTTCAGTAATTAGAATGATACTATAATTACTAAGAAGTATAGTTAGTAGCTTATGATTGTCTAACAAATATTTGTTTCATTGTTATTTTAAGTTTTATTGTTATTAAATTATTGTTATTCTTATTTATATTAACCTTCTGCCGATTGTGTCCTGTTTTGTGACGATGAAGACTTTTGCTAGAAACTTGCTTGCTACTTTTTGTTTATTATCTATTAACCTTAATATACTATTTAAATTAAAAGAATTTAAATTACTTATGTGAATTGCAAATTACTTTCTGTCATTTCAAAATACAAACATCTCTATAATCATGCTAGAATTTGAAATTACTGTTTTTTATGTCATTATCTTTGTTGTACAATTTTACCTCTATATATCAAACTTCCATGTATTTTTTTTTTTATGAAAAACTACAATCCTTCTTCATATTGAATCTTTTTCAAGGATTTTTCAAGTTTGATATATTGAGATCCAGCCCTATTATAAACAAAAATTTAAATTACATGAAAAATTATTAAAATAAATATTAGCAAGAATGAAATAGTGAATGAATAAAAGAGATAATTTCCTTTTGGCTTGAATAAATTATCATCTCAAAAATATAGTATACATTTTTTTTTAGCTCCTCAATAAAAATGGTTGTAACTTTGAATTGATGATATATTTTCACTTAATGTGTTTTTGAACTGCAAAAAATTTTTATTATTTGCAGTTCAAAAACATTTGAAAAATTGGTAAGCAATTCAAAGTTTCAATTAAGTTGTTTGCATAAAAAAAAAATTATAATCCCATTATTTGAGTTGGATCGTGGAAAATATATAATTTGAGTCAAATATTGCTTAGTACTGATAAGGAATTGTAATTATTTAGCTTTATATATTTTCTTTTTAAGAAGGTTTTTTTTTTCCAATCAACTTATAATAGACCTTATGATAACTGTTTCATTAGTCCAAAATTTTTGAGTTTTTTAACCCCATTTTCAAATTGAATTATTAATTTTATAAATTAGTTTTATATTATTTCATTTTATTATAATTAAGTTAGACGGTAAATAAGGTAAAGAATTTTTGTAAGAGAAATCAAAACATGATCACTCATAATTTCTTTGTTCTCGTCAGGTACTAGTCGCCCTCTTGAGGGTAGAAAAGAGACAATTACTTGTCAGATTCACCTCGGGGACACCCCGCAAGAAATCGTCAGTCGATTAGGCTCGCCAGGACGTGTATTCTACAAATCAGAAGATAAAATGAAAATCCACTCAGTTAGACGACTGGCTGAGGCTGTTGGTAGAACAGATTATTTTTTTAATTACTTCTCTATGGGCATTGTAAGTATATTATTACTAATATTATCTTGTTAATTATAAATAATTTTAAAAGTTTAATATTCATTCATTTAACATCAGATTCCAATCCATAAACTTATTTGTCCCCTCTCATAGAAATGTTTCCTTTAAAAAATCCTTTGTCATTTGTGCTTCCTTTTTCTGGAATTCATTATCTGCCCCCATACGCAAATCCTCTTCCTTAACCACATTTAAACAACAATTATTCTTCCACCTCCTAAGCAATCAATCTTCCAAATACACGTAAGAACAAAATTTTGTATTTAAGAGCTGTCACCTTCATTTGACTGTTATTCATTAGTGTTACTTATGTATTAATAATATTTTTAATCAGAACAAATATATGAACACATATGAAGAGAAGAATAGTTGGGGTGGTCAGTAAAAAAAAAAGGCAAAAATAAATGATAATATTTATTTTTTGCATATGCCGACGTATTTTCTATCTAACTACTCCATTCTCTATGTCTTAATTTTACTATTTATTTTCATTTCTTATATAACTTCATATTTCTTGTTTATGTTTTACATTTTATTCTAAGATTCCCATTTTAACACTTATGTCACCCTTTTTGATTATGCCTACTTCATCATTCCACACTTTGTAACGGTTATTATTATTTATCTCTTAGTTCTTAGTCATTATTCTAACAATTTCATTTTACTTTATATTTATTTATTTTTTTATTTTTTTTTTTTACCATCACTACTTATGTTTTTTCATACCTTGTTATCTGGTTATTTTCTTAGCGCTGATGAAGGCCTGAACTTCAGGTCGAAACGTCGGCATATGTAAAAATAAATATTATCATTTATTTTTGCCTTCTTTTTTGACTGACCACCCCAACTATTCTTCTCTTCATTATCCACGACAGTCAACCATTTACCAATTATGAACACATATATTTACATATACACAAATACATGAACATACATTTTTACATATATGTTTATGTGCAAATTAATATGTTTACTTGTACTTAATTTATTTTAATTTTAAGGTTGGATTATTACGTTATGTTAACTAATTATTTTTTATTTTCTCATAGTACCAGACAATTGTTTTTTTCCCTATAGTTATTCTTAGAGGACTAAATGTCCCAGAATAAAATTTAATTTCTTCTTCTTGTATTATTTACATTTTTTTTCCCTGTTGGATTAATAGACCTTGTAGATCTTTTGCCACCTCAACAAGCCTACTCTTATCTTTATCTATCTTTCTATTTCTTTCCAGTTTTCTTCATGCATCTTTATTGATCTGATCTATTTATATGGTGTTTAACCTTTCACGTGGTCTCTTGCCTACTTTTGAGGCATCATTGTTATGTACAGGCTTTCTGAGTTATTGCTCCGAGCTACATACTCCGCCCATATTAGCTGCCTTCATCTTAATCTTAATCTTAAGCCCATGTCTTCATATTATGAGATATTGATTGATCAGTTTCTTTAAGAAGTTCCTTATTGGTCTTTCTCCTCCAACCATTAGTATTCTGATCTCAGATCGCTCCGGTTACCATTCATTTCTCTTAAATCTTTCAATACTTCTTTCTAGCGTGCTAGTTAATGTCGAGGTCTCACAGCCGTATATCAGACCTGGTTTTATTATAGCATTATACACCCTTAATTTGAGATTTTTCTGGATTTCAATACCTTTGAAAGAGAGAAAAAACTCTGTTTTTGCACATACATTGGTGAATTTCTGAAAGTTGGTCATTGATTGTGGTTATTGTTGAACCAAGATATTTGAATTTTTTTAATCCCAGAAAAATTTCCCTTGTACACAGATCCTGTTGTTGAGGTGGGATTTTCGGCTTATCATATATTTTGCTTTATCTTTGTTTACTTGAAGGCTGATTCGCTCTGCTTCTCTTATCAGAGTCTTGTCTCTCAGCACCGTCTTGATTGCTTCGTAGAACAGCTATATTATCTGCATTTCCATTTCCAGGCTATATCATCTGTTATTAGAATGTTATTATTATACATAAAAATAAATAATTGATGTGGAGGTAACTTCAAAATCTATTGCTTGGTCTTTCATTTTTTGTAGTTATGCTTACCATTTTCTGTCTACAAACAGGGAAAATCTGGGCATTGATAAAGAACCTTATTTTTCTGGAAAAGTCTATCATATCCGAAGGTCAGAGAAATTTCCAATAGTTTTGGCCAAAATAAGAAAAGAATATATGGGGTGTCAACTCACCTGACTTTTCTACCGATGCTGTACAAATTTTAATCTGTGATTGAAATTCAATACACTATCATCACTTGTACTGTTTCGATTCCAATGATTTATTTTTTTTGTTTAGTAAAGAATTTAATTACTTTTCAAAAGATGAAATATAAAATTTATTTATTAAATTAATAAATTATTTAAATGAATGATAAACATTCAGGATGCAGTCATAAAGTATTTATTGTTCCCGACGTTTCAACCCAAACACGCCCTGATGATAACCCACATGTTTGGATTGAAACGTCGGCACCAATAAAAGCTTTATAATGACTGTGTCCTGAATATTTATCATTCATGATATGTAGAACAGTAATAATCGATAAATTATTTATAATTTAATACCGAGTAAATGTAATGGAGTTGACAGCATTAAAGTAAAGTAAATGAGTATGTAAAATTATTGGGCTTTACAACAAATGAATCCCTAAAGTGTTTGTAATTACTATGCTGTAAGCTTCCAAGAAACAGACCCAAATGAAGGTTGAAGAACTACATTTTGCTGAATTTTTTTTTAAAGGTGGTCAGTGGATAATCCAGTTAATGAATGATTATAGATGGAAATGGCGGGGACACAGTTTTTGACTTTGAGACTTTGTTTGGACTAGTAAGGAAGTATATATACTAAAAGTCCCCACGCAGATATAGGGAGGTGCCTAGAGGGACACTTTTCGGGTTTCCGCTTATATCAGGAAAACCACCCATCACATCAACATAGACGTACAAAATTAAAGCTGATAAAATTTGCAACATCATTGATTATATAACTTTGTTTGCTATCTCACTTAGTTTCCATGATATCCATCCTCAACTATCGCTAATGTGGAAAAAAAAGTTTTTACCTCATGTATTTTACTGTATCTGACCAGTTAACTCTTAATTGCTTCTTCCTACGATTAAGTTGTGGAGAAAAAAGTTTTTAATAATTAAATTTTCTTTACGAATATATATTATTTTACTAGTTTATCTCCAACGGTTCAAAAGTTAGATCAATTATAACTTTATTTGTCAATTCCGAGAATTCCCAGAAAAACTTAATTTTTATAATATTCGTTATTATTATCGCATTCTTGACATATAAAGCTATAATTGATCTAACTTTTGAACCGTTGTTGATAAACTAGAAAAATAATATATACTAGTAGGCCCGTGCGAAAAATTCGCACAGCATATTGTTATCAGATGCCAAATTAATAAGAAAATAAAATAATGCAAGGTATCAAAAGATAAAGAAATCAAATGTTACTTTATCGATAAATATAATCGACAAAGAAAACAAAAATTAATTTAAATCTTATAAAATTAATAAACATGTTCACAAATTTCAGTAATGTTAAAAATAGTCCGATTTCGATGATTTTTTTTTTTCCTTTTGTAGAGGATTTAGTAATATTTTATATAATCATGGTCATAACCATTACCATAGTAAGGCAAAAGTGTATAATTTTTTAGTTATAAAGTTTCTTTTCTTTCAAAACTTGTTTGCCTGAATTTTCGGGGTGAATTTTGCCAGCCTGAAGGAGAAGGAAACCTTCAAAACTGGTGGCTCAATCTTGAGATTTGGTGATAAATTTACTATGATATGGCTTGCCGATCAAGAACACCATCGAGAAATAATATAAACTCTTCCTCTCTCGATCATAGAGACCTCAAGTCGACGAAATGAGACATGCATTCAATGACAGTACCACAATTAATGTATGCCTTGTGTTATCTCCAAAATAATACGTTTTTGGACCCAAAAACGCAGGATCCGATAGTTCCAGAGGAACTATCCGGGTCTTGCTGTACGCATCAAAATCTTCAAGGTCCAATTTGTCCCGTATCCATCTTATAGACCTACCACCGTTCCATTATTGAAGCCTAGCAAAATGTTTGTATCGAATTTATTTATTTAGAAAGAAAAACATAAGTGGAGAATACGATTCGCTAACCCCCCGTGAAATTCTGAATCCAACGGTACCCTATTCATGGTATTTAAGCATGACAGGAGCTTATATTTGGTACAAAACCGATTTCAAGCCTTCCTGTCATAATAAATGTGGGGATTCTTGAAGAAAATGTAACTATTAAAAACTTTCTTTCCCATGACTTAATCGTATAACGAGGCAATGAAGAGTTAACTAGTCAAATACAGTAAAAAAAACATGAGGTAAAATTTTTTTTTTCCATATTAGTGATAGTTGTGGTTGGATATCTAGGAAATTAAGTGAGATAGCGATAAAAAGTATAAAATCAATCATATTGTAAATTTTATTAGCTTTAATTTTGTATAGGACGTCTTTCTCGATGTGATGGATAGTTTTCCTGATATAAGTGAAAACCCAAAAAAATAAAATAAACACCTGGCAAAATATTTTTTTCATAATTAGCCAAAATTGAAAACGGATATCTCAGAAACTAAGTGAGATACCGAAAAAGAGCATATAATCAATCATATTGCAAATTTTATCAGCTTTAATTTTTTATAGAACGTCTTTGTTGTTGCGATGGGTAGTTACTGATATAAGCGAAAACCCCAAAAAAGTGACCTATTACTAGGCTCCCTCCCCCCCATATCTGGCTCACCATCTAGGAATGGAGTCGTTTAGTATGTTTACCTCCTTACTAGTCTAGTCTTAACAATGTCTCAAAGTCAAAAATTGTGTCCCTGCCATTTCTTTCTGTACCATCTTTTCGAGTATTCATTGACTGGACTAGGATGGAAGTATTTAGGCAGCAATTGATGTTATTGTCATCAAACAGTTGAGTGCGCTAAACCTTTTATCACTATAAGTTTAACATAGTTTTAATAATTTATGTTACCTTTTGGGTCTTTAGAACGTTGTAGAGGTAATATTTTTATTTGAGATGTAGTGACTTAAAAAAATAAAATCTGAGTTACAGAGACAAAGCTCAAATTATTTATTTCAGGTTAATTTATTTATAATTGAACTAGATTCAATTCACTAAATGATACACTGATTAATAATATTATATTATTTTGTTTCAGGACATTTTATTTGATGGAAGAACCCATAAAGCAAAGAAATTCATTCTACAGACTAATTACCCTGGCCATTACAACTTTAACATGTATGTTTTTCATATTTATTTATTTATTTATTTTTTTATAAAATGAGGGGGAAATTTGTTAAAGATATTATGTGGTTGAGAAAAATCAGGAATCAGTGGACAATTCAAAGTAAATTTTTGAAAAGTCGAGAAATTCATCTCGATTTCTCAATATTAACTGTGAGAAAGCTTATCCAAGAGAATTTAATATAACTGAAACAGATACATTTCTACATTTTATTCCATTTGTTTGGGGCATCATGCCTTCCCTGATCCCGAAATAGGGGGAATTAAACCTGGATGCTAAATAATTTATCAGAAGAGGGTATTCATGTGGAATATGAAATGAGAAAAATGAGGTTAACATAAAAAATCTATGCCTATGACACGTGTATCCTATCAGTTAACAACGATCCATCAATTGCATCCCAAACTCTCCAATAACACATCGCAATTCTTGAAGAATGGTGTCAAAACTGGAGGATTAAAATAAACTCCAATAAATCTTATCAAATTACCTTTATCCTGCATCGCAAACCTATGACCTCCTGTCCTACAGTATTCTTTAACAATTCCCCACTTATCCCAGTTGAACAAATCCGTTACCTTGGACTCCACCTCGACAAACGACTCACATGGAATCCTCTTACAAGACTGAAACGATAAGAAACAGCTCAACGTTTCCAACTACTCCAACACTTACTAGACAAACGCTCTAAGCTTTCAATCAATTACTAACGACTCATATATATGACAATAATAAGACTTTGTGGAAGAATTGAACTTTGTGGCTCCACTAAACCATCGAATTTCTCTCGTATCCAATCCTTACAATCCAAAATCCTTTGTAAAATCCTCAATGCTCCTTACTTTTGTCACAAACGAAATTATCCATAAAGACCTTAATGTTCCATATGTTTCCGATTTGGCCCAATCCAGATACTTATCCTTCCATAACAAACTGCAGAACCATCCGAACCCTCTCGTTTCAAACCTTGCTTCCTCCTCGATCCCTGATAACCTTCCAAGGCGTCTGAAAAGAAGATTGCCTCGGGACCTTCTAATATAGAACTTTAATTTGAGTTCTACCAATGGGTAGTTTCTCTTCATGTTGTACATGTCATGTTATCAATGTCACTATTTTAATCTATTTTTTTGTTAATCAATATATTTTTGATGTTTTTTTTATTTTAATGAAATTTACAACTGTATTACATTAAAAATACAACAAGTAAATGTGACATTGGTAATATGACATGTACAACATGAAAAGAAACTACCCATTGGTAGAACTCAAATTAAAGTTCTATATTTACTTGTTGTATTTTTAATGTAATACAGTTGTAAATTTCATTAAAATAAAAAAAACATCAAAAATATATTGATTAACAAAAAAATAGATTGAAATAAACAGAGTTTGATGTGGGGTACCAAGATATACATTTGGATTATTGAGTTAGTAACTATTGATTAATATGGGCTGACCAGGTAAATGTAGATTCTGGCTGGTTGAATGCTTCCATCGAGGGACTGGCTTCTGTGGCATCTGAGTGGTATGTTTTGCCCTGCTGACTTCTCTTAATGTAATGTGGCATCCATGCTGTCTCTTTCGGCCACTTCTTTATGCTGGTCTGACATTTTAACGTGCATAGTCATGGAGACCATTTTGTAGGTAGTCTCATACTAAGACTGGAACAGGTCTTGTACTTTGGCCCTTCTGGTCCCAGGTCACCAGGCAGAGCTAGTTGCTCATCTTCTTCTACTAGCCAATAGATGCCACTGTCTTGATGACCAATAGATGGCGCTATTTGACGCACTAAATTATGAATTTACACTAATAATAGTGAGTGGTCTTAACACCATTCGTCGAGGCAATGTAAAGGTATTTATCCTAGTCCTGCTTATTAAGATTTTATTACTGATACATTAATTTTGGTTTATTATTTTCGAAAATTCTTGAAAAATTTGGAAATTTCAATCACCAAAATTAGGAGGCAGCATGCAAATCTCCAGTTTCATATGTGATAACTTGTACTATATTACTCAAGCTTTAATTTTGGTAAGTTGTTAATAACAATCTTTTATAATTCCTCCCCCCTTTTCTCCCTCTTCTCCAGCTTCAACACTTCCATTCAAAAAGTATTTTATATTTTTTTTTACTTTGCTATTTTTTAGTAAATAAAATGAAACCACTACCTAAACTATATTAATCACTGTTATTTCAAGTAATTAGCTAATTATGAATCTTTTTTATTATTTAAAAAATGCAATTTCAAAATTACATGTATTCTTTATTATATGATATCTATAATTGTCACATTTTTTTTTTCTTGAAAATTCCTCATTATTTATTAAATGATGAATACCTAGTCCTTTCATGGGGTCTTGTAATGCAGATTTTTACTGACTCGATTAATTTTTAAAACTACTTAAAATACTTCTTTTTCTTCGTCTATAGTAATTTTAAAACTTTTTTTTTCGTAACAGGTACCATAGGTGTGAATTTCTGATTAATTTACCTGTCGAAAGAGGAACAGAACACTTAGAAAGCCCTAATATTCAGGTATATATATAAATATTTAACGCATGTTTTGATTTTAAATATGGAAAATTATTATAAGTATTGTTAAATTAGGTTACTGCTTATACAAAATGGGAAACGATTAGTGAACACCTGAATGCCAGCCCAAAGCCTGTCGTTCTCAACAGAGCTTCGTCTATCAACACGAAAAACTTCTTTGGACCAACGTTGTGCTACGGATACAGAGACTTTATATTTGAGGTCAATATGAATTTTTTTAATTAATGTTTCGCATAACATTTCTTATACTGAATATTAATATATCGAATATTTAATAATTGACCATTGCATTATAAAGGAAGGAGATGGTCTGGGGTGGCGGTCATAAATAGTTTCACTTAGAACTGAATTTCAGTACTGAGTGAAACTCCTAGCTGAACACACCTTCTGAAGAAGACCCGCAAAGTTGGGTCGAAACGTTGGCTTTTAATAAAATAGTTTTGCCACTGTTTAGTCTACTTATGACGGCCACCCCGGACCATCTCCTTCCTTTCAATATTAATATATTATTTATATTATTATATATATATTATTATTTCATTCTCCCTTCGACACTTAAGGAGAAAGCCCTGATGAAGGCCTGAACTTCAGATCGAAACGTCGGCATATGTAAAAAATAAATATTATAATTTATTTTTGCCTTCCTTTTTGACTGAATACCCCAACTATTCTTTTCTTCATTAATATATTATTTGTTTTATTAACTAAGTGATGTTGATAATCAATATTTAATTATAATAGGGATATCCACAGTACTAGTACTTAGTATTTTAACCTACTTAGTATATAAAGTATGCTAATTTAACCTTTTTTCTTTGTCCACCCCTTCCTCACATTTTAAACTAGGGGAGAGGACAGGGAATTAATGCTACAGTTGCCCTCTGGCACCGAGATGCAAACTAATTATTTTATCATGTAAACTTTGGTATCGGGTTGTCTGGTTGTGTTTTCTTCTTCTTTTTCTTCTTCTTCTTCTTCAATGGGCGCTACAGTCCTTGTAGAACCTGGACCACTGCCACCACTCTCCTCCACTCCTCGCGGTCTGCAGCAAGAGTCCTCCAATTTCTGATCCCCAGCCTCCTCAAGTCTTCTTCCAGATCATCCGACCATCGGTCTACCTCTTTGTCTTTTCCCTCCTGGAGTACCATTCAGCATCATTTTTGGATGTCTACTGAGATCCATTCTTTCAACATGACCCAACCATCTGAGCCTGTCCTTCTTAATGACACTAATGATGTTTGGCTCTCCATATAACTCCATTAACTCTGTGTTGCTTCTTATTCTCCATCTATGCTGCTCACTGACAGCTCCAAAGATCTTCCTTAGGACTCTTCTCTCCCACACCAGCAAGGCTCTCCTGTTTTCCTTAGTCATAGTCCACGTCTCACTGCCATACAAAACGACTGGTCTAATCACCGTTTTATACATTACTATTTTTGCCTTCCTGGGCAGACTTTTGTATCGGAGCGCCTTTTGCAGAGCATAGGAACATCTAGTTCCAGCAACCATCTTGCCTTTTATTTCTGCTTCCATATTATTGTTTTCCGTCACTACTCCGCCCAAGTACTTAAATTTATCACAGTTGCGAAACGTGTCTTCTCCCAATTCAACAGTATCTCCTCTCTCTCTCTCTCTCTCTCTGGTATGTCGGGATGTTTTGATATACCTTGTCTTTTCCATGCTTATAATGAGTCCTAACTCTTGAGCTGCATGCTTGAACTCTTCTATAGCGTCGGCTAGTGCTGCTTTAGTTCTTCCTGATATAACGTCATCGGCATATGCCGTGTGTTGCTATTATAAATGGCACCACCAGGGTTCGTCTTGATTTTCCGAATTGCAACCTCTAAAGCGAGATTGAATAGTACAGGAGATAACGGGTCCCCCTGTCTTAAGCCACTGTTAATCTCTAAACTATCTGACATACCCAATCTAGTTTTGATCATACAGCTTGTCCTTTCTATGGTCATTCTGGTCAGTCTTATTAGTTTACTAGGAATCCCCAGTGACTGTAAGGCTTCCAGGTTATGACTGGAATGGTAGGAACTGGATGGTATCGGCACAAGATGATTAGAGGAAACAGTTAGAGGATGCCAAGACCTGTAACCGGGTTGTAGTGCCTTGATATAATAATAATAAAAGCACTTTTAACGTTGTAAGATTCTCAACCAGTGGTTATAAATTTAATTTTGTTGTGCTGCGATTTGATAGATTTTAAATTGATTGATAAAAAGGTTTTTTGTTAGTTTTTACTTTCACTTACCTAAATATGAAATATATATAAGTGCAAGTATTGCGATCGTGACAATTTTCGAATCTGTTTTCAACAGAAATACATGTTTTGAGGTCCCCTGAGTCCAAATAACCAAGTTTCGCAAAATGGTCTGTGTGTTATCAGTCTAGCTCATAAACGAAAAGTAGTACAAAACTGATATTAAGTATTTAAGGTTTGTATATGGGCCGGATGTGACAGCAACTTTTTCGTTAAAATCGTCTAACCGGAAGTGCCACTTTATATGAACGCTGAAACACATTTTCACAATTTTCTCAAAAACGGCTCTAATGATTTTGGTTAAACTTGGTGTATCATTGTATAATTAAGTGATCTTTAGTATCAATTAGGTCTCATCCTCATTGATGTCACTTTACAGGGCTTAAATGCCCAATGTTCACATACGTCTTCCTCGAAAGTACCTTTAATATGGTTTATTTTGAAAAGTTAATCATTTCACATTATTCAGAGTTACGAAAATATGCTCAATATAACTTTTCAAAGAATATGATAATCGAAGAAAGGAGAAAAAATAAAAATGCTTTTACATGTCAAAAATGAATCTCCAGAAATACTAGTCAGAAGGTACAATATATCGTTGGAAAGCGGAGAAATTTAGAAAAAACAATATCTAATATAGAAAGTTGTAAAAGGTAACAGAGAGCTGTGAAAAAATTATAAATAATATATTTTTTAAACTAATATTATTTAACGTAAATCACATGTTTTCAAGGAAATTTTCTTACTAAATGTAAACTTTTAAATGTTTTTCTAAGATTGAAATAAAGTATTTAAAATCCACCGAAACAAGTCAATGTCATTGTTTAAAATACTATTTTGTAGTACTTGTGTGAAAGAAAAAGACATTTTGTAATTATAATTGTCTTAATGACTTGTTATCTGTAAGTTTTAAGCTTTAGCTCCGTTTTAAATGCATTTCATAAATTTGATAATAGCCCAGCATTGCCAGAAAATAATTTCTATTCAAAGTAGAGCAGTAACTGAAAGTTGTGTGTTGCGCGCACCAGATTTATTTTTTTTACAATTGACTGAACCTCAATAAAACAAATTATTCAAAGTGAAATTGATTCTTGAAACTAATTCATTATCCGTCATTTATTTTATAGAAAATGAAGAAGAAATGCTGTATAATTACCGACACAGTACTGTAACTGTCAATATTACCACCGTGTCAGACATGACAAATTTTTCTCGGAAAGGTTTTTTGTTATTTAATGTGTACTATGTTTTTCTTTTCAGTTGTGTTACAAGTTTCGTTGAATTAACTAGTGTGACGAAATTAGTGAAAAAAGAAAACGAGTTGTATCATTGAAAGATAAAATTTTAATATTTTTACGAAATATAGAAGTTAAAATAATGTTTGAGTTTTATTAATTTTATCTCAGTTTTATTAACTGCTGTTATCAGGTTGCCAGGCAATACTGTGGGTACTGTACACATGCGTTAACCCACTCGGCCACACCCCGCCCTACTTAAATTATTTAAAAAATAGATTAAAATGTGTTTAGATTAGTCTTTGATTGATAGAAATTGTTCACATTGTTTCTCTCCAAACTTTGGAATTTCCCTAAAAAGGGATATTTTTTTTCACCAAAGTCGAAACCATGCTTTCAACCTCTCTACTAGTATTTTATAGGATGCCCAAAAGTATTTTAAAAACGATGCAAACTATAATTAATTTGATATTTACTTATTTTTTCAGGTAATGCCAAATCAACATATAGCTTCAGTAACCATTTACAGGAGCGAGTCTGTTTTCTAGTGATTGATCTCGAAGACCAGTCGGAAAAAACCTTAATTTTTATGTATGTATTTTAATTTTTAGTGTAATTTTGTAATTAATTTTTGAACAAGTGCTCAGCAAAACACTCATTTTTATCTAAAACAAAACTTTTGTGTGGTGTATAAACAACTATATATTTTACATGGGACTCTAGTATATATTTTCCAATGAATCCGCATTGTTTGCGGGTTCTCTTTTGTACAGCAATTTCATGTTGAAATATCAGAACGATTATGAATTAAGTTATATTCTGTAAAACCTTATTTTATAGGTAGGAATAAGTTGCAAGTGAGAAAGAAGGTTAATTTTAATAAATAGATTTATTGGATTATTATGTAAATAAGGTGTTAGAATGTTATCCTGTTTAGGTAGAGATATATCTGATTGGAGCTTATTTATTAAATCGAGATATAAATAAATATCTTACTATTTTTCCATTTGTTTATTAAATTGTCTGTAAGGAGTGATTTTGCGCTTATAAATGAATTATATAAGATAAAAATTCAAATTTGTAAAGCTCATGTAGTTTCACATAAGTTATTTTTACTGTTGTTATTACGAAAACCCTGTTTTTAAATTGTATGTTGTATAAATAGTTTACATACGCTGTTCAGTCGTTTAGCCCTTAACTGCCGTTTGTGATTTCAGTATTAAATCGCTTGAAATTTGAAAGTTTTTACACATTTTGTATGAATATCTGAGAAGCATTAATGTTGATATTGTGGTATAAGATTTAGTGATTGTTATTAAACCAATTTAGTTATTTTATTTTTTTTTAAGTTTAAATTCAATCTGTTTCCTGAATCATTAAAAAAAAATAAAATAAATAATCAAATAAATTTTTATACACACAAATAGTGGCCTTATCTCAATAGAAGCATCAAGTTAGCTGCAAACATAATATTGGTGACATTGTTTGGTTTTTAAATACAGATTTTCCTGAAGAAAGCTAGTTTTCTGATATTTTTATAATTTACTATAAGTCTTTTTATCTAAAATATTAATTCGTGATATTATTAATTTTAGACGTATCTGGTTGTACAAAAAGAAATTTAAATTTAATTTGTTTTAAACAATTTGAAGATGAGGTTTTTAGGGTGCGATAAACAATCATAAAAAATCTAGAAGTTTTTATTTTTACTATTTGTTAAATAAAAGTTCAGAATGAAAGGAGTGAAGTTCAGGAGGGTATTAATTATGGCGGAAATCAATCTATGATTTTTCATTTTTTATTTTTTTAAATACATTTGTTTACTTGTATTATTATTCCTCCTCAAATTTAATATTTCATTTGGTACAATAGATATGGAATTTCTTCTTAATTTTTTTATTTGAAGGATAATATTTTAGCTTCATTTTTCTATGTTGATTAGAATTTTAAATGATACCCCTTCGTTCTTCTAACTATTTGTATTTTCACTTATGTATTTACGAAATATATAGGAAGGGAAATTATTGCATTTGTAAACGTTTTTTAATATAAGTTTTTAACAGAAATACACATTTTAAGATTACTTGAGTCCAAATATTCATGTCTCACTGAATGATCTTTTCTATTTAAATCATCTTACCAGAAGTTCCACTTTATATAATTGGTTTCAATCTATTATTAAATGACAGTACATTGAAAATGTCAATAATATTCTGTGCTATGTGCAAGATATAATAAGTGAGAGCTTTTGAAAATAGAATATAGTCGTCCTTAAAGTCACAATAAGTAAAAAAAAAAAAAAAAATGGTTAGAAGTCTGAAAGTTTATCTTTAAAATTTCAATTTATCATATAAAAATGAAATTAGTTTTATTTTTTAATAATAGTATAATACATTATAACAAAACAAATCCATACTGTGTCTAATGCAACTAATTTATATAAATTATGGTTTTATTATTATTATTTTTTAATGTTTACAATAGTCTTATGATATATCTTAGATGATGGGACTATAAGAATATTCAAAAATCGCCAATCATTTGTTTTCACAAGAAAATGGATGGTGTTACATTTGATCGATCAAATTTTCATGTGCCATATTGTTTAAAATATATCTGAGATAAATGTTATATAATACATACAAGATAAAATATATCTAATGTTCATTGGGATATGCTCATCTTTATTGTAACTTTAATTTGTTAAAGATTTTCCAAAGCGAGATACTGGATTTTTAGGAAATAAAAAGCCCCCTAAAATATGTCTCAAAAATGCTTTAAGAATATTTATGAAAGAAAGTTTATGAAAAAAAAAATTAATTAAAACTATTATTATTTTAAATTTCAAGAAAAAATATTACCCTTCAAATTTCATATTCGTTATACATACTATTGGACAATGTTAAACAAAAATATGATTGTGTATGATTTTACTAAATAATAATTATTGATTTTACTATGAAAAATATTTTTTAATCTTTTTTACTAACCAAAACCTTTTTATTATACATACAAACATAAAAAATTAAAAATTAGAAAAAAATGTAGTAGTTTAAAAAAAAAAAAATTATAAAAACACCAGAAGAAAATAGAATTTAGAAATTTTAAGTTAAATATACAACATATATATAAACAATAAAAAAAAATTATATAACATGAAAAATATCAGTAATGTGTTTTAATGGAAGTTTATAAATTGATAAATTAATCATATATCATATTTTTAGTAATAGCACTAGCAAAATGTAATTTAAAGTAGCTTTTTTTTTTTTTTTTTTTTTTGAAAATTGTTAAATGGATTACATATTGCTTTCTCTTTATTAGAAGTTAAAATAATAATGTAGTATATATTATTTAACTGTTTTATGTTTTTTTTTTTGTTTTTTTTTGTTTTTTGTATTTTGTTATTACTCATTACCTCTTAATTTAAAAAAAAATACAAAATTTAATTTATAAATTAAAAATATTTTTTTCATCAAAATAATCTTATAGTTTAGTGCAAGTATGCAAAAATATGAAGAATTAAAATTGGTTAATGTGTTTCTAAATAGACTCAAAAGCTTGAAAACTAAATGTAAGATTGGATACAAATCTGGTCGTAGCTCAAAATATTTCTTCTTTGTGATCTTGCTAATAATTTATTTTTACTTCTCGTGACAATTTTTCTTCTGCTCTTGTAACGTTTTCAAGTTTGGAAAATACCAATAGAGAATAGAACTTGTTCCCGGCGAAATTTTTGTTTTTGAAATGTTAAAGTTGTACATTTCTGGCTGTGACCTGAAACCTTGACAAGTTAGTTGATTTAGGCATATGTGTTCATCGTAGAGAGGCTTATGTTAGAGTAGTTTCTTTGTAATTAGTTCGAAAAGTGGTTAATTTTAAAATTTTAATAAAATTATCATATCTTTTATTGTAATTTTTATTAATCGAAAAAATATCATGGTCTCAACATATTTCATAATTTTACAATGATTTGAAATTTATATAATAAAAAGTGGATATGAAAAATAAGTGAATCTAAATTTTATTAACTTTCATACTCCATTAATATTCATATTTAATATTTTTTTTTTTTAATCCAAATAATTTCAAGCATTAGTAAGTTATTTTTATATACCTTAAAAATAACCATCTTTTGTCCTGGATATCATTTAAAGGAAAAAAATTGTCAGAACATGCAGTCAAAAAATTATGTTTATTGATTTTGCTTATGTTTCATCACAAACATGTGGATATGGGTCATTATTAGGACTAAATACTAAAAAAAAATACAAAATTACAACAAAAGAATGATAAAGAGAAGAAAAACTTGGCACGTACAAATGAGATAGTGATAGTATAAACATAATAATAATAAAAACATTACAATATGCCAAGAAAAGATTTATATGTTATAGCAGATAATTAGTATAAATACAACACTTCAATAAATAAGAAGTATTCAAAAAACAACATATAGAAACAAAAATTAACTAACATGAAAAAAAAAGCTTACACAAATAGAAATTAACAAATATCAATAGTTTCTTAATAATTACCAATGGTTTGAAGGCTGGATAAGACTGAGCGTTTACGGAAATCGTGTTGTAATGGCTATTTAATGACTATTTAGCAGAAAATATTTTTAAAAAAATATCTAATCTAAATGTAAATGCCTAAAGGTGATAAGAATTTAAAAGTACATGATTGGATAAACATAAATAAAAATGGTAAATTGAAACTGAACTAAATAATATATGAGCCTTTCGGTTGACAGAATGACTAACTCCAATTTCAACATTTTGAGTTAAGCCATTTTAATGATATTTGTAGTTTTTAGTATTTGTTGAAATATAAAACTGGGAATAAAGGTATACATTTTCTCACTTGAAATATCACTGAAATTAATAATAAAAAATGTTGAAATTGGAGTCATTTTGTCAACTGAAACGCTCATATTACAAATACAAATAAATAGAAAGGAATTACAAATAAATAATAATCAAAGATATTTTTATAATATATGTATATATACAACGGATGATTTTATGAAATAATCTAGTTCCACCTTTTTCTTTATCATTTTTCTGATATAATTTTGTATTTTTTATTTTTTTTTTACTGCCCATTTTTCATCCTTGCAATTCCAATAGTAAACTATATATCCATATCTAATTTACTGAAATAGTGTTAACGTAGCCAAACTTTTTTAATAGTATATTAAAACTTATTTTTTAGGAATGGTGCCAAAGTGCTTATAGTAAAGTATTTAGGTTTAGCTATTGGCGCAGGGTGTTTCTGCTGTTTTTTTTTTTTTTTTTTTTGTTTTTTTTCTATTTTATTTTATTAAAAGTAAAATTCAACTTTATTGATAATAAATTCTCTTTTAATAAAGAATATTAAATCAAAATTTTTCTCTGAATATAAAAAACGGTGAACTCCCAATAATCTGAATGGTATAATAAAACTGCATCATTTGTAATATAATGAGGACATGATGGCCGAACACATTGGGTTGTGGTTTCCAGAATGTTGTGGGTTCGATTCCTACCTGGTTTGGTTAAATATTTACATCTTAGTCGCTTCAGGAAATGAATCGGAAACAGGAAATGGTAGCGGGAGCAACCTCTGTGTTGGCTGAAAGGAATACAAGGCTCACTTGCCAGATTATTTGTTATTATTTGCTGGTTTGTTTTGTAAAACTTGTGGGCAGAAAAAGAAATTTTTATGTGTTTTATTTAGGAAAAAAAGTAAATAAATCCTTATATTTTAATGTTCATATAAGGAGAAATATATTTGTCCCTTTCATTTTTGGTGCACAATTTTGTTTTAAAGGCTTAATTATTCTATGTACAACGATTAAAATTTATCTATCAAAAGTTACCAGTATTATTTTACTTCACTGAACAGAAAAATGATTTAAAAACATAAAAATAAATTAGTAATAAAAAATAATTTTAAATTATAAATTAGGATAGTTCTATATTGATTTTAATAAGTTAAAATATTTGTATGGATGTTGTTCAGTGATAGGTTTGACTGTCATTCGTAAAATTTAAAAATGAATTTTGTGTTAGTGAAATTTTCAAAATTGAATTTGTTCAAGGCTGTAATGTACAAAAGATATTTTAATTAGTTTATTCAGTTTTGTAGCTGTCTTTTAGAAATGTAATGAAAATTTACTTCATTTTGTGTTCATATTTTGTTTTAATTGTAAGACAATGAATAACATTATTTATAGGTTTTGTAAATTAGGCTGTTATTTATTTTAAAAAAAAAAAAGAACAAAATAATTTTTTTTAAATTAATATTTTTGTGATAGTGATGAATTCCGTGATCTCACTCTTCTAATTCCTTTAATATTTTTTTTGTTTGTTCCTCATTAAGATAATCATTCGGGATTGTTCTCATTACAAATTTTTGTAATAGATTTTGGAATGTTACCTCTAAGAAGTTGAAAGATAATCATGTTTTACATAAGGATTATGCTAGTAACCATTAAAAAAAAATTAGTTTGTAGTATTTTTTATCAATTAACACTTCCCTTCACCGCCACTCTAAAAAAAAAAAAAAAACATTAATTAATATTTTGTTTGTAATGTTTTGGATTTTAAGGTATTTACTTGTATTTATGTCATGTACGATTCGAAACATTTTATAATTTGTTTGAAAATTCATCATAATGGTGTAATTAGATAATTATTATTTATTTAAATTTTCAATTCACTTTTACAAGAAGTATTATTTAAGAAAATGAAATCAAAATAAAAAGTTGTTTACATCTTATTGTTGTGTTTGATTTGATTGGTTAGCATTCAAAAATATTTCATAATTCAGGTTATGTAATTGATGAAAGATTTGTTACCAAATTTGATTAAAAGCTGTGTTCCTAGTAAAATCATAAAAGTAATTAATTTAATTGTTGTGTTTATGTTTTGAGTACATTTTTTCAGCATCATGTTAAAGTAATGAACGTTAACCTGCCCAACATTGCACATTCATTACTTTAACATGTTGCCGATGATTTATCTACAAGCCTCTGACATTTTTATTATTTTCTAATTTAAAAAAAAAAATAATAATTTCATCTGCAGATGGCAGCTTTGACTATCTAAACTAAGTTTTTATTGAAAAAATAAAATAAATAAATGGAAAAATATGTTTTTCATGTTTAATGCTTGCTAACTAATTTTACATCTGGTAACATTAGAAATTACTTAAATTGCTAATATAAATAAACTGTTCATAAAATAAATATACTTAAAATCACATCTTTTTGTTAACCTTATATAATTAAAACTTTATTTAATAACACTACATAATACTGCTTCATTGTTTTTAAATTTATTTATTTAAATTTATTTTAGAAGAAAAATTACTTGATACCATATGTAGGGAAAAAAAAATTAATCATTAATTTAAAAATGTCCTAATTTCCGTTCAAAATGAATGAAGGCACAACTTAAAATTCTAATTTTTTATATTTTTTGGTAAATGTT